TTTTTTTTTTTTTTTGTATTTTAAGTGCCTTTACCTTTACCTCCCAGTCAAAATATCTGCTTGTCTTTGTGTAGTCATTTACAAAACGAAGAGGATGAGGCAGAATACACAGCCGTGGAAGACCCAGTTCAGAAAAAGAGCACATTGCTTTTTTTTTTTTTTTTGTCATCAGCATAGTGTCAACTTTCACTCACTTTAGCTCCTTCTTCTCTTCTCTTTGAAGGTGGTGGGTGGTATGACCTGGTGCATCACCACGTGCAATTTTGACGTTGATGTAGATCTTCTCTTTCAAGAAAACTCTACCATTGGTCAGAAGATGTAAGTGATAGTGGCAGAGTATTTTTATACTGTCTTCTAGTTTCTGTCTGAAGTAATCCAGTAATTATCTGAGGTTAAATCCTAACCTGGACTGGACTGCACTGTTTACTGGATGTTTAAAATAACCTGCAATAAATAACAGCCTTACTAATTACAACTAAATTATCAAAGTAACTGCTGGTATGAAGCCATTGTATTTATTTAAGTGTTTATTCATTCATTCATTCATTCATTCATTCATTCATTCATTCATTAATTCATTCAAAGTCCCAATTCATGTTAGTATTTGGTAGCCTTTGAACTGTGTGACCTGGGCAAAGACTTTGGGTTTTCCTTCTCAAGCTTTTCAGAATAGTTTGCTGGAATTTGGTCTTTTTTATCCTGACAGAACCAGTTAGGTTTTTAGTCTGCCWTGCTTATACACTCGTTTTGTGTTTTGTCTACTCAATTCCTGTGGAGTTGASATAAGTGCTTTGTGACAGCTACTACAAAACATTAAATTTGTTGTCCTTAAGTCACTTTGTAACTAATTTGYCCATATTCCTAGACCCATATGTGCCCAGTCTTTAGTTACCTGGCTTATACTGTATCTTTAGATGTTACTCTAATATTTCCACATAATATTCTTTCTTCATGATGTAATATATTTTCTGATGTGTGCCAGTCCCTCCTGCAGCAAAACATCCCTGCAACATGATGCTGCCACTTCCGTACTTCACAGCTGGGATGGTGTTCTCAGCTTTCACCTTTTTCTTCCAAGTGTAACGATGGTCATTAGTAGGGCTGCCACGATTAATCGACGACTAATCGATTATTAAAATAATCACCAAATGATTATGATGATGTCTGTTTTTCCGTAGAGCTCTGACAGAGAAAATAGTTTCTGTTCTACCAAAGATGAAGTGTCCTCATCGTCTCGAGCCCCATCAAATTCAGGGCCTGGATTTTATCCACATTTTTCCGGTCATACAGGTGAGACAAATAAATTTGGCCTGAAGAGTTACCATAATGTGTTCTTCTTGGCTTCTTTTACTTATTGTCCTTTCAGTGGCTGGTGAAACGAGCCATAGAGACAAGAGAAGAGATGGGAGATTATGTGAGGTCCTACTCAATTTCTCAGTTCCAGAAGACCCACACTCTCCCTGAGGTAAAGCATTGTGTTGGACTTTGTGTCTTCACCTAAATGAGAGTCTGAGTCCAGACCTGATTGAAAGACTTTAAAGGGGCTATATTATGTAAAATTAGGGGAGGGCGATATGATCAAAATTTTATATCACAGTATTTTCAACGGAAAAAAAAAATTGTATAGGTCCTCTGGACGGGTTCTTCTTTAA